CTGGATGGAGAGCTCATATTTCAAAAGTAGTAGGAATAAGAATAAGATAGAGAACACTATATTTGCCTCAGTTCCCCATTTCAACCATCTCAACATTCTTCGAAGAACGCTTTGAGTTGTAAGGGTTGTGAATTTGGAGGACATCAGACAAAACGAAATATCAAACAAGAGTAAGAGCAATCGAAGCAACGCTGTAAGAAACAATAAGGATGGTTGCCAAGCTATCTTCAATCAAGATGGAGGTCCCGCTGTTCCGGAGCAACACAGTTAGGGAGTTTGCCAAGTGGTGGCCGCTGTTCAAGGCGTACRCAATTCAAAAGGAGTTTGCGGAGGTCATTCAACAGACCAAATTTAAAGATCTCCCTGAGACTGAACTTCCTCGAAAGATGAAGGACAACGCTGAAGACGATATCAACGGGACACTTGAAGAACACACAGATGAACAGTGCAAGGCGCTGCTGAAGAATAAGATGGGCATCGCGGCATTCACCATAGCATTTGCAAGAAGTGTAAATGAAGACTGTCAAGCAATGGTCACGGATTCTAAAGACGATAGATACTGGCCAACAGGTCAATGCCATCTCGTAGTGCAGGAACTATTGGATGAATTTGCGGCCGATGATGAGATGGGAATGATCAGGCAACGAGTCGAATTGTACTCAATATCTATGAAGAAGCAGGATAATCCCAAGACTCTGTTTTCCCAAATTACCTCAATCGAACAGAAGTACAAGGGTAGGACAACCCCGTTGACAGTCGAGGACAAACGGGCAGCTATCCTGATGAGGGCGCCACGGATGTACCAAGCAGTGATACAGACCGAGCGAACCACGGAGAGAAAGATCCACGGCAGGGAACCAACATTGAAGGCTTTAAGACAAGCAATGTATGACCATTATAAGAGCATACAGATCAATCAAGCAAACAATCTCTTGCAGGAACTGACACTGTACTCCGCCACCCACGATGAAGACGACAGCGATGATGATGAAGGGAATTATCAACACCGAAAGAAGAAGAAAGGAAAGAAACACGGAAAGTCGTCAGGGCCGAAGAGAAAGAAAGCACAGAACAACAGTAATAAGAGCTGTTATGGGTGTGGGGAGAAAGGACACATCAAGAGGGACTGTCCTTACGAGAAGGCCTGTGAGTACTGTGGGGTCAAAGGACATACGGAGGACCAATGCTGGAAGAAATATCCAGAGAAGAGACCCAAGAAGTTTAAGAACGGCAAGAACAGCGCCAAGGACGAAGACGACGCTGCGGGAATCGTCGTGGAAGAAGAACTTACATTCACGGTGCTGGACGATACGAGGGACATGGGGAATGGATTCCCATGGTCAAACAGCAATAATTCATCTTGCCGTGCAAACAGTAACACCGTGTATAATGATAATACAGTGAACTATGCACAGCAGCGGAATAATGAGCTCCCGCCAGTACGTAGGATTACGTATAAGCCAGTGCAGGACTTAAATTACCACGCTCAACGGTCATTCCGCGAAGTACAACGGAGACGCAACGACAGGAAAAGGATAACACATACAGGCAAGTATGCACACCAACGGTTGAAAACTCGGGGCTGGCCGAGGGCGCCGGCCCACACTTATGCCAAGACCTGGCGGGTGCATGAAACTTGGGACGGGCAGAAGAAAACTATCAGTTGGACAGTTATGCCAAAGAACCGTAAACAGCGTAAGCACGGCCGCAAACACAGACATTTTGGACGCAAACGTGATAGACACGTGGAAACGAAATATGCGGAGTCCCGCGGGCGACCCGCAAATAAAATAATTAGGGACTTACACGCAGCCCAACACGTGGCAAACAGAAGTGCGGCGCAGAGCGCACGTGAAATTCAACTACTGCGAGAAGAGCTCGCACGCAAAAGAGGGACAAATGACGCGGAGATGACGTTCGTTACCATAGATAACGAGTTGAGCTTATCAAATGCTATCGGGACTGAACTGCTTTACACGCCAAACATATGGATAGCAGACACAGGAGCCTCGTGTCATGTAACTAACAGCGCGCTGGCAGGAGTACCTTCAGAGAACGCCAACGAACGCTTGAAAACACTACGGCACTCACTGGATGCAAGCGGGAACCGTATGGAGACTAATGCTATCATTGATATCAAAGGAGCCGTACAGACTAAAGATGGTGAAACAGTGAATGTAGTGTTGAAAGACTGCAGATTTGGGGCGTCTAAGTTTAACCTGTGTTCTGTAACTAAGCTGATAGACCATGGGTGGTTTATGAGGGGAGATGCGGGAGGAATCCACCTCACAAAGGGAGAGAAACGAATCGACTTTGATATCCCGATAAAGACCCAAGAAGGCAAGCTGTGGGCAGCTAGGATAGACCGTAGAAGTTCTAACGATGGACCACGCAAATTCACTCTAGCAACACCCACAACGATGAGTCTAAGGAAAGCTCATGAATTTTGTGGCCACAGCAATATAAGAGAAACTACCAAAACAGCAAAGCACATGGGTTGGAAGCTCACGCGCGAGCCGTTTCAACGATGCGAACCATGTGCCGTGGCAAAGGCCAGGCAAGCCAATTTGCATCAGGGTGAGACAAAGGAGCCCAACGGAATTGGGGAGCTCTATTACATCGATGGAATGACACTGAAACGTCCGAAGAAACCAAAGATCAGGACATACTTCCCGGCAAACAACTGCTTGGTGATGGTGGTTGAGCATAAGACAGGGGCACTTGTCACGGGTTGGTACGAGCGGAAGAATGAATTTGTGGAGGACTTCTGCACTTATTTTGCTGGCCAAGGCGCTAAGGGAAAGCCACTCAAACGTGTCCGCTGTGATGACGCTGGCGAAAACAAGCTGTTACAGAAAAGAATCAACGGGAAACACTGGAGAATGAATGTTAACTTTGAGTATACAGCAAAGACACCTCAAAGAAATTCAAGAGTGGAAACCAAGCTGTTTCACATGAGCAACAAGACTCGTGCAGCACTGGAAGCCGCTAACGTACCAGACCAGTACCGATACGTATTATTTGCATTGTTTAACAAATGGTGTTGCCAAACTGACATGCTTACCGTAGTCGAAGTGGATGGGGAAGAGAAGACTCGCCATGAACACTTGTTTGGTAAACTTCCAGGCTGGGTTGAGCATATGCAGGTTGCGGGAATGGCTGGAGTAGTGAAAACACACACGAGGACTACTCCAAAGGTGAATGCCAGAGGCAAAACATGTCTGTTTGTGTGTTATGCAACGGATCATGCAAAAGACTGCTATGTTATGTATGATCCAAAGACAAGAAGAACAATACATTCCAGGGATGTATTGTGGTTAGACCGAATGTATTTCCCAAGCAGACCGCGACCGGGCGCCAAGATTGCTGTCGAGGGAGTGAACCCTCCGGTCCGGAGACAGACGGCGGAAAATGAAGCCTGGGACCAATCGGAAGATGGGACTATCGTAAGCATTAGCTCGAGTTCTTCCAGTGATTCTGATACAGAGCAAAGTGACGAAGAAGTAGAGTCACAGGGCTCATCTGTGATCATGTTTGAAGATGCGGAGGAACCGCTATTTGATATGCATGATGACAGCAACAACGATGAAGACAGTACAGTTTCTGGCGGATCACAAGGAAACCGCAGGACTACACGCAGCGGACGAGTTGTTAGAACACCAGTTCATCATGATGGAACTCTGCTCGGGGAGGTCGTCGCATTACACGTTGAGGATCGGTTCATTAACGAGACTTGTCTGCTGGGAATGGAGGAAGGCAAGCGTCTCCACAATCACCATTTGGATGAAGGAATGAGGGAGGAAGAGTTTGTACTGTTCAGCCTGATGAAGGGAGGAAACAAGACCTACAGCTCAGTGGAACATGCCTTTGGGTATATCAACAAAGGAGGAAGTTATATGCTGGTGGCAGCAGCCCTGGAGGACGACTCGGGAGAACTCTTCCTCGTGGGTGCCACTGGGCATAATTATGGAAATACAGCTGAGTTGAATGTTATGAATTACAAGCAAGCTATGGCAACTGTGGACCGCAAGGAATGGGAGAAAGCCATCAAAGTGGAACACGACAAGATGGTTAAGTATAATGTGTTCCGGGTAGTTAAGCCTAAGGAAATACCGAAGGGCACCAAGCTCTTCGATAGCACATGGGCCATGAAGAAGAAACCAGATGGTACATTTAGAGCTAGAAACGCCATTAGGGGCTTCATGCAAGTGGATGGAGAACACTATGATAGTAATGATAAGTCCTCACCAGTTGCCACTGAAGTGGGCATACGTGTTTGCTTTGTGCTGGCAATCGTGGGGGCATGGTACCAACATCTGGTGGATGTAGAAGGGGCATTCTTAAACGGAGTATTTCAACGACCAGATAAGCACCGGATCTTTATGAAAGTGCCCGAGGCTTATAAGAAGTGGTACCCATCATGGGCCACTTTCTTATTACTGAAAACACAATACGGCACAGTGCAGGCTGCATTACAGTATTACCGGGAGTGTTGCAAGGCACTGGCATATTTGAAATATAAAAGGAATGCGGCAGAACCGTGTATGTTTTATAAGTGGAAAGCGAAACAGTTGGTGGTGTTCGTGTTATGGGTCGATGACTGCTGTATTTCAGGGCCTAAGGAACTGGTCCTGCAGGAAGTTAAAGATTTTACGGGGCTATGGGACTGCAAGGATCTGGGTGAATTAAAGGAATATGTGGGCTGTAAGGTTGAAAGGACCAAAGATTGGATCCGGCTCACTCAACCGGTGAAAGTACAGCGATTTATTGACGAATTCAACTGTAAAGGAAACAATGGCCCCAGTCACAGGGCCCCTTCTACCCCAGCTGAGCCGGGAAGTGTCTTAGAATTTGATAAGGACAGTGAACAAGCAATAAATAGTAAGAGACAGACCAAGTATCGATCCGGAGTGGGAATTCTGCTACACATGATGCGTTGGAGTAGGCCAGATGTACTGAATGCAGTAAGGGAACTGTCTTCACACATGACAACAGCAAGCAAAGCCTGCTACAAGGCTTTGAACAGGGTCATGAACTTCATAGTATCCACCAAAGATAGGGGATATATGTTCAGACCCAGGAACCCCGGCACGTGGGATGGATGTTGTGGGACCAGGACCTTCAAAATACAAGGCAAATGCGATTCGGAGTATGCCAAACACAGCAGTCGTCGCAGTGTTAATGCAGGAATTACTTATCTGGAAGGGGCTATAGTCAAGCAATTTAGCAAAATGATGCCGATTGTGGCATTGTCCACGACCGAGGCCGAACTGTACTCAGCTGTTCTTACTGCACAAGATATGATGTTTGTTTATCATATCGTGACCAATTTGGGGCTTAAAGTTGAACTGCCGATGAGGTTACATTGTGATAATAAAGGGGCCGTTGCGTTGGCCAATAACTGGTCGGTTGGAGGCAGAACACGGCACGTGGATGTTAAACAGCATTTCCTGAGGGAACTGAAAGAACATGGTTTTATTGAAGTTCGTTGGAAGGCAGGAGCACAGATGACCCCCGATATACATACAAAGAATGTTTCTAAGGCATTATTTGACCAGTACAGTAAAGAACTAGTAAGCTAGTCAAATAAGGGAAGTGTGTTGAAACAGTGAGTATGGGATAATCGCCAGGCTCGTTCGAGAGCCGGGTGGTCGGAGGAGCTAATTCAGTGTCACAAGCAAGGAATATGCTGTAAAGTTGAATCCTACAGGAATGATACTGATGCAACTGGCTGGACAGCTGGAGGCATCTAACAAGCTAAGGAGCAGCTGCTGGTAAAGGAGCTGGCGAGCTGAATGATGGACATCTGATGTGAGAAGTGTTGAAGTTGAAGGGATCCTGAGTGGTGAAAGGATTCAGTTGAAGCTTTAGATATTGGATTAGGTGTTATATTGAACCAAAGGAAGCAAGAGGAGTGATTTCCGGCATGAGGGCCGTGATTATTAGAGCTGGATGGAGAGCTCATATTTCAAAAGTAGTAGGAATAAGAATAAGATAGAGAACACTATATTTGCCTCAGTTCCCCATTTCAACCATCTCAACAGTATTATCACCATCCTTGCCGCCGTTGTTCTTGTGAAAGTTGTATCCTAGGCTTTCTGCGGACGGCCGTGTTCAATTGGGCAGTGCCAGACACAAATTGTTTCTTGTACATCAACCTCTGCTTTTGTGTTGGATGCCATAACAGTCTTATCATATCAACTACCACTCGGATATGCCCTTTGACAGAGCGAAACTTGCGATCAATTTGACTTCGATTCGTGTACCGTATCTTTCACCGTTTTTCAGTTTTTCTTGGCAGTGTACGGGATCTATCGTACCTAACGTACACGGTGCGTATTGGCTCGCTAACGCAAATACTTTCTACGGCTCAAAAACTAAGTTGTTGCTAGTAAGGTTGAAGTTATGCTCTGAAAAGAATGTAGTAGAAGTCTCTAAAAATGAATAATCTGTTTTTGTTCAAGGTACTAATTTATTTGCAAACGTACGTCCGTTGCATCAGGGTTCACACAAATCCATACTGAAAAAGTTTCTTTTTGTTTCCTCAGTAAGTCCAGGGCTATAAGAATTCTTCAAGGTTACTAGTACTCCTGGTGCTGCTGGTTACCACCACACATGATGCAGCACTACTAGTACTACTAGTAGTAACAAAGAAGAGGAGGAGGATAGTGGTGGTACTACTACTAGTAGTAGTCCAGAGCACCATAGCCAACTACTAAAACAATTGGCTTGCTAAAGCAACTACTACTTCTATGATGCAAAAACTAAGGTAGTGACAGTAAGGTTGAAGTTGTGCTCTGAAAAGAATGTAGTACTAATTAGAAGCTACTAGTAGTAGTACTACTACTATTAAACAAAAGCACTGTGGCTGTTTCTTGTAGTAGTAGTTTCTGAAATAGGAATGGAAATCATTGGTTCATTTTGTATGCTGGGTATTGTTGTTGTTGTTGTTGTTGTTGTTGTTGTTGTTGTTTTTGGAAGCAGAAGAGGTGTTCTTGTTATGAACAGACCATTAGAAGTTGTAAGAACTTGCCTCCTTCTTGTTGAAAGCACAACATAGTAGGTCCAATTTCTTGTGTCAGACCAAGTTGAAACCAACACATTTTCCAAAGATCTTCCCTGTAATTTGTAAACAGTTCTTGCCTTAGCAACATTGATTGGCAATTGAGGTAATCATGTTCCCTGTGACTTGATTGTCTTTGGTGGGTAGCAATTCTTGATTCTTCATATCCTTGCAGACATCAAAATTTTGCTATTCTTGCTGCTGTGTTTTGAGGAGTTAAAGTGGTCACTTTTTCAGGCTCCTTCTCCAAGGACTACCTCTATCCATTCAACTGTCTCAGCATCTGCACATCCAACTTAAAATCTATCAATGTTGATAGTAAGTTCACACCAATATAAGTACCCATTTTTCAGTTTCTTGACAGACTTGAATGTATAGTACATGGCTCCATTTGCTTTTGACTCTTCAGCATCCTCCCCATGTTGTCATTGATCATGACAGGTCTACCAAAATGCAATTTAAGCATTGTATCTAGTATCCTTTTGGAAGATTTGTTTGCACCTGCAACAATGTCAGCATCTGATGTGGCAGTTTGCAAGCAGTATTTCTCAAATTCTGGTATGTCTCTGGAAATTCCTGTTTGTCTATCTACAGTTTTTGAGGCCTTGATTACAATGCTGGTGTGATCTGGTAATCTCTCATTTTCATTTTTTAAATGTGTTGTTTTGAGAAACTCAGAAAATATGCCATAATTTAGTGTACATTTCTTGTCTGCATTGCTGTATGTTGCAGAAGCAATATCTTCTGTGAGTTTGTCCCAAGGTTTTACACCATTCTAGAATTGATGATTTGAAGATGCTCTTCTTCTTTCAAGCCATTTGTTCTTAAATCATCAAAATCTCTCCCCAGACTGGATCATCTTTAAACCACCACCAGTGATTTGTTTTTTAAGTCCAAGAAATATGTTATATTTTTTTACAGCAGAGAGTCTCCTCCAATGGGTTTGAGTTGATTGAAGTCACCTGCAAAGACAATTGGTAGATTACCATACAAATGATATGATGGTTTGTCACACAATAAGTTCAGATATTCATTCAATATTTCAATTTGTTTGATGCTAGCAAATGATATCTTGTCAACAGTGAGTAGGCAAGAAGTCTCATTTTCCTATGAATCAACCTAGGTATCATTGGTAGGTCTGTCATAATTAAGATGGCAAGCTTTTGTGTTGTTTCCCCATTGATATTTACGACTAGTACTGTTCCAGTCATGCCTGTGATAGCCAGAGTTCTGTTGGAAAGTTCACTCCCAATTCTTTGCAAAGCACGCACAACTGCCAGAAACAACAACAGCAGCAGCAGCAGCAGCAACAACAACAACAACAACAACAACAACAACAACAACAACCCCAGTATTCAACCAGTTGCATGCAGTTTGCCCCAGCTGATGATGGATTCATCCCCAGCTCTTAACTTGCATCTTCATTGTTTTTCAAAGAAATCTTAGAAAGCTCAATGAATGTTATCAGGAGAAGTGTGACCTACCCTGCTGGTCAGTTCACATACTACTAGTTCAATATGAATGATGCAAAGAAATCTTGAAAAGAAAAGTTTTGAATCAAGAAAACTGAAAACACAGTATTTAGTCCATGGCATGGTTTGATCTATGGAAAGTCCAAGTGAAAGAGCCAATTTAGTGAAAGTGGTGTGTGATTACTGAAATAAAGTGTATAGAAAGATAACTAATCCTACTAAAACAACCAAATAGTACCCTATTTTCTGATATTGTCTAGCTATCCCTGGAACTGAATATCAGAGAAAGAAGACCTAGTAGTAGTTTTTAATCTTAAGACACAAATCATGAGTATATGTAAGGATTATTTGAATTCATTTTCATTAATTTGTATTGCACCACGCATGGCAGCAGCAAGAGCAGTAGTACTAGTACTAACAAGCTGAAAAAAGAACAAGTCACCACCAGTACAACAAAATGTGAAGCTCTACTATGTAAGCATTGTGTCCTACTTAAAGGATACAGTATTAGTACCACCACTATAGTATTGTTGTTGTTATTCTTGTTAGTAATTTGGTGACTATAGTAAATACAGTCACCTATTTTATTGTGTGCTGTTTGAGATTGTTTACTTATGCTGGCAAATCTCCTGATATTGTCATTCAAAATCCAAAAGAAGAGTGAGTACTTAAATACAAGTATGAACAATTTACTAGTGATAGTACTTGGATTGCCCAGCCAGATGGTGTTGTTGATTTTGATACCTGACATCCCCCTACTTGTAGGTAATGGAATTCATACTACATTTACCCTGCTGAAAAAATCTGGAGGAAACTTCCTTCAAACTCCAGCTTTGAGTTGGTAGGAAACTTTCCTCTTGTTAGTAATGTCATCTTCAAAGCTGCAAAAGTTATCCATACTACTTCAAGTAGATGCTTGTGTCAAAATCAGAATCGAGAGAAACCTGCATGAGCCATGGAACACGCCACCAGCTAAGGGTGTAGTAGCAATCAAGGATTTCCAGGAGGGAAAGTTCTGCATCAAGATCACCAGGGGCAGGGGTTTGATCCAACTTGTGAAGGATTTACTAGCATCTTCTACCCCCCATTGCTGAGACCCAAACAATCCCTCCTGTTGAACTCCTATTTCCAGTTATTTTCCATCCTCATGCTGTATCCATTCAAGACTTTATGCTTCACAAGAAATGTTCTTTGTTAATGTAACTCAGGATTGGTGCCATTCTTCTGAAACAGCCCTTGTCTCTGAGGTCAAGAGAGTAAACCTTGTTTCTTCTAATCTCCTGACTACTASTACTGCTATCTTTCAATTTGAGAGCCTTGCTACTAGTCATTCTTGCAAAAAAGATTCAAGGCAGACTTCTTCCATGTTTTGTTAGTTTCAGAGTCCCAGTTGGCAGACAAGAGCCTCTTGATGAAATACAATGGAATGGTGGCTAGTATTATCTGTTTGAGGATTCAACTCTGAGAACTCTTGTGGTGAGACCAACCAAGCCTTCTGGAACCAGCCCCTCACCAAAATATACATTTGATCTCCTTTTTGCTCCACAATGTTATCCAGAACTAGGAACTCTTGGTGTGCTTGAAGAAGATGTTCTCTAGTACCTAATTCACTACTAGTAGTGCCCTCTGTTTCAATAAAGTCTCACATTGATCTGCTCCAGTCTCACCAACATCCACAAGCACTGCATCCTGTTATCCATCCTGTTGATTATATGCTTTTGATGCCCTGATGAATGTACCAGTAGCCCCTACAACTTGCAAGTTGAAACAGAAGTATGATGTAACTAGATTGTTCATGCTAGTTGCTAAACATTGTCAACAAAGAAGCCTTACAGGCCCACTCACTCACTTCATCAAATATTTCCATTCAACTTTGTATCTTCACAGTTTACTATTCAATTAACTTTTTTGTGCTACTTTTTGTTACATGATACAATCAATGTGAAAATCACGTGTGCAATAAGCAGTTAGTGTAGTGTTGATATAACAGGTGAATACACTGTAATGTACACTAGAGACTTAGCTAATCTAGATATCACCATGCTGGTGTTGAGGGCATGAAAGGGTGTTTTGGTTGTTTAAGAAAAGAATAAGTGGGAATAAACAGCAGCTTGCTGTTTGCTGTATTCTGATCGATTTAGCGATTCGGCGATTCAGTGATTGATTCAATGGTTGGTACGCTTTAACCTTAACCCTAATTGTAATACTCGTACGATTCACTCGTATCGTACGATTCACCAAAGATATGATTCAACCTAATGATTCAACCTTAACCTTAATCGTATAACTCATACGATTCATTTGTATAGTACGAGTGACTGGACTCATCCGTATCGTACAAGTGATTTTCACATCAACCTACTGCCTTGATCTATCTATCTCATTCAATTTCATGGAAGAATCAGATGAGAATTTTTGTCTGATTTGAAATCAGTTGCACAATGGTGTTCCCCACCACATAATTTCCCTAGCT